ATTGCACATTTCTAAAGTTACAATTTAGAGCAACTCTATTAACTGTAAACATAATATCAAATAACACACTACAGGTCAAATTTAGTATGCTAGCCAACACTTCTTTAAAGCATGACAAAATATTATTAAAGCAATGATTTAAAATGAAAAACTTGTTACTTTTACATTATTACAAAGTGCACTTTTTAAAAGTCTACTTAAGTGTGTTTAGAAACAGTAATGAAAGTGTCTCTGTAAAGTGCACTTAACAGGCTTTTTATTTCATTGATATTATATTATCTGCACATACTTTAAAAAAATATATATATTTATAAGATTTGAAGTTGTACAAGTGCATATTCAGTACACTTCTTTGGGGCGTCTTAGTAGAAAGCTTAATAACATTTTGTCATCATAGCATGTCATTCCAAATCATATTGTTCTTCTGTAGGACAAAAAAAGAGCATTTTTGAATAATTACGACTGTCAAGCTCCAAAAAAGCCATACAAATATAAACTACATTTCCCATCATCCTCTGCGTCAGCATGAGAATCATCAACAGCACAAATTCAGCATCAGTTCCACACCTAATCTTTCGCTCTTCATCAGCAATTAAAAAGGTGTTTGTTGGGAAGTGAAAGAGAAAGAAATATGAAATTGCCCAGAAATTCTGTCCAAGCGCTCATCGTCACTTCAGCACTTGTTCAGAATCCGCAGTAAGACTTCACAATAAGGTCTCGTTAGTTAATGTGAGTTAATGCATTTAACTAACTAACATTGAGAGTTACATTTGTCACAGTATTTATTTATTTGTTAACATCAGTAAAAAAAAAACTGTTCATTTTCAGCTCATGTTATCCCATATGGCAAAAATATTAAATAAATAAATGTTGTAAACAGTGAAGCTCAATGAAAAGCATTTTCAAAAATTAAAATATATTTAATATATTTCAAACTTTTTTATTTATTTTTTTCTCAAAAATACACAAAAATGGCCAAAACATTGGTAGAAAATATGTTTATGTAAATATATTATAGAAAATACATACACTACCGATCAGTAAGACTTGTAATGTTTTTAAAGAAGAATCTTCTGCTCATCAAGGCTGCATTTATTTGATCAGAAATACAGAAAAAAAACTTGCAAAATGTTATTACAATATAAAATAATGGTTTCTATTTTAATATCCTTTAAAATATAATATATTTCTGTGATGCAAAGCTGAATTTCCATCAGCATCATTCCTCCAGTCTTCAGTGTCACATGATCTTCAGAAATCAGTATAATATGCTGATTTATTATTAGAATTATTATCAGTTGTGCTGCACAATATTGTTTTGGAAACTGATACTTTTTCAGGATTCTTTGATGAATAAAAAGTTAAAAAGAACAGCATTTATTCAAAATATAAATATTTTCTAACAATATAAATTTTTGCTGTCACTTCTCAACAATTGAACACGTCCTCGCTGAATAAAAGTTTTAATTTCTTTCAAAAAAAAGAAAGAATAAAAATGTACCGACCCCAAACTTTTGAACGGTAGTGTGTATTGTTAGAAAAGATTTCTGTTTTAAATAAATGCTCTTCTTTTTAACTTTGTATTCATCAAAGAATCCTGAAAACAAATATCACAGCTCCAAAAAAAATATGAAGCAGCAGCTCTGATAATAAAGCAGCATATTATACTGATTTCTGAAGATCATGTGACACTGAAGACTGGAGGAATGATGCTGAAAATACAGCTGCGCATCACAGAAATACATTACAGTTTAATGTATATTAAAATAATTTTTTTTTATTTTACATCAATAATAATATTTCACAATATTAATTTTTTCCTGTATTTCTGATCAAATAAATGCAGCCTTGATGAGCAGAAGAGACTCCTGTAAAAAACATAAAAAATCATTCTGATCCCAAACTTTTGACCGGTAGTGTATATAAATAAAAAACACATACATAAATATGAAATAACATAAACAGATGCTACACTTGGGTTTAATAATGTATTAAGGATTGTTACTGTTATTAAGAATAGTTCATTAACAAATGTTTACAAATGGAACCTTGCAAAAGTGTAAAATGTTACAGCTCTCGTCCAAGCATCAATAAAACCGCAGTCTAATATCAGGTGCTGCAGCATATCGCATAAAGCCAACCATCTTCATAATGATGTTTAGACTGGGATTCATAACACTAATGACTAATCATGGAGTTACACTCATTACACTGTCTGTTCAAACACTCTGCACTAATGCATGACGGATCCTCGTACCAATCTCCCGACTGTGCACTGTGTAGTGGACTTCAATGGGCTCCAGTGTGCTGCTAATGGCATAGTGAGCAAGTGTGCATCGCTAGATCACTTGAGCCGTCAGCAGCACCTCTGTACTGCACAAGTTTAGCTAAAATAGGAGAAAATAGTCTTTTTATGTCCTCAGATATACATGAGCGCAGCTAAGGTGACCACTAACCAAAACTAGTCCTGAGGTGACACCATTATCATGACCACGGCTCACAACATCTCTCTAATTAAGCAATATATTCATATTTATCTACACAAGTAAAGTATATGATATTATATCATAGTTGAAACTTAGGCCTGAGGTTATGATACATGTATTTAAATTGCATATAGAGTTTTAACATAAATAAACTGATTAACATTTTGTGACGCATATTTGTCAGCCAAACATCAGATTTCTGTAACAGTACTTATAAACGGGATGTGTTTTAAATGCACGATAACCAGATTTATTTATTTGTCAACGCTAATTATGAATTGTTTCAATCTCATACATTTTAACTAACTGAATATTGATATTTATTCATATTTTAACCATGTTCAAACTTTTTAACTGAATAAACTTCACAATGAACAGATTTATGCTGAAATCATTTGAATACATGCATTTTGAAAATATGATTATTTAAATAAACTAATATGGCAAATTATATATACAGTATATATATATATATATAGAGAGAGAGAGAGAGAGAATATTTTTTAAATATATTTAAAAATCTAAAATCGAATTTTATTTTTTTACTCATTTATGTCTGACAAATGAGCGTCACATTAGTTTCAAAATGCATGGATATTTTATATGCAATTCAAATACATATATCTTTACATATATATATATATATACCTTTTTTTTTTGGAGTGATTTGTTGTTTCTTTATTGGAGTAAGCATTATTATGGATTATGGACTCATATTTTAGCCAGAAGCATGCAGTTTGAAGTTAAAAAGGTCTTAATGCTGGATTAGTTTCTTCTTTTGTCTTCTCCAGATGTTCACTGATGGTCTGGAGTGCTGTGGGTTATTGTGATGTTTTTATCAGCTGTTTGCACTCTCGTTCTGACGGCACCCATTCACTTGCAGTGAGACACTGATGCAATTTCTCCAAACCTGATGAAGAAACAAACTCATCTACATCTCGGATGGCCTGAGGGTGAGGAAATTTTCATTGTTGGCTGAACTATTCCTTTAAGTGTCCCCTGCTGAGTGTGTAGGGAGCAGTGAACACTAGAAGAGAAACTATAATTAACACTAATTAGGAAGCAGACACTGCTGGGCGTCTCAGAGCGTGTTGGCATTCAACAGCATCTCACACCGTCATTTCCATTCCTCCATGGGCGCTGAAGTCTTTGATTTTAAAGTGCATTCTCATGGATCAGCGAAACCCGGCTCTGCCCAAACTCTATTATCCTATTAGCCCCTCAGAGACACATGTGTGCTATCCTGCGTGCCCCTCTCGATGTGAACCGACTCCAGAAACAAAAGCCATCTAGTTGATATTACGCCCACCATCTCAACGCGTGACCCGCCAGTCAGATCGGCCCTGAGCAACAGCGGCCCACAGTAAACAATGCTTAGATGTTTTCCTTCATGACATTTGCACATTATGACTCATGGTCATGCAAAGCTCTGGTTAACCCACACTACACTACTAGAACGCTACTAGTTGCTTAGTACACGATGAGAATGCAGGATAAGGAGAGGCTAGAGCTCGACATATGCAGATTTCAGACACTTGCTGTGACATTTGCAACCACAACGACACATTAAACAGCACCGTACAGCTTTTCGACAACATTTCTTCAATGCAAATTAAAATGCATGAATGTCTCTCCATGCAACTTCCATTAAATGTGAGGAAAAACCCAATGGATGAACTGTTTAGAATGCAATATTAAATATCCAGGCTATTTGCATTATTTGTTTCTTGTTGGTTGGGAATATTGAAGCCTTTCTAGTGTTTCTTTAATGCAATGCAATGACTTCCATTGAATGCAAGGAAAACCCAAAGGATGAACTGTTTGGCATGCAATATGCACATTTGCAATAGATATCATGTCTAATCACATTATTTTTCCTTGTCGGAATATTGAAGCATTTCTACGGTGTTTCTTTAATGCAATGCAATGACTTCCATTGATTGTAAGGAAACCACAAAGGATGAACTCTTTAGCATTCAATATGCACATTTACAATAGACGTCATGGCTATTTGCATTATTTTTTCCTGTTGGTTGGGAATATTGAAGCGTTTCTACAGTGTTTCTTTAATGCAGTGCAATGACTTCTATTGCATTTCTACAGTGTTTCTTAAATGCAATGCAATGACTGCCATTAAATGAGGAAAACCAAAAGGATGAACTGTTTGGCATGCAATATGCACATTTGCAATAGATGTCATGGCTATTTGCATTATTTTTCCTTGTGGATTGGGAATATTGAACTATGTCATGCAGTGAAAATGCACATGATGACCAAATCTTACACCTAAAAAAAAAACTTTTCTAATTCTGAAATGTTCAACTGTTATTTCCAATGAATCACTGGTGAATCTGACTGATCATAATGCATCGTTTCCCCCTCTAAAAACCTGTGGATCGGTTGTCGGGAAGATAGATCTGGTGCTGGATGGTTTGTGAAATGGCACCTGTTCAAATGCACACACGGAATGTTGACTGGCATATAAATGCATCTGTATGAGCTGCTGGCACTTACCATACACTCCCTGGCATGAGATGCCTTCCAAAACGAGCGTCAGGAGCCCCAAAACACCAATAATCCCATCCATCCTTACGTGCCTTTCAACATATCCAGATTAAAGCGCCGGAACGTGTCTCTCCAGAACGTGGAAGACAAGCTGCAGATCTCATGAAGCACTCGGAGTCGAAGTCAAAGCACCAGATCCGCGCAAGGTTTTGTGATGATGAAGAAGCCCACGCGCGGTTCGGTGAGGGTAAGCGTTTATTCACGAGCTCGGCCGAGGTTCGGAGACGTCGGTGACGGTCTTTCAGCAGCTGTCATCGCTTCGTTCGAGGCTCGAGTCCATCCGATCCGAGGTTCCGAGCGTCTCAGTGGCGCTGCTGATGCTCGTGCGCCCGCAGCATCAGGACCAGCGGCGTCGGGAATGAGCAATGCGCGTGCACCTGGCTGTCCGTCATCGCTCCGAGCGCGCGAGCGACACCAGAACTCTTCGGAGGGGTTCAGGCGGAGCCGAGTTTAAACGAACCGAGTCCGATGCTGCGTTCGGATCGAGGTCGGATGGAGCGGATCGTCCGTCGCGAGAGAGAGAGAGAGAGAGAGAGAGGGAGAGAGAGAGAGAGAGAGAGAGAGAGAGAGAGAGAGAGAGACTCATCTGTATGAAGGACTACACACACACACACACACTCACACACTCACACACAAACACACACACACACTCACTCTCACACACACACACACACACAAACACACACACGCCTGAAGCTAATACTAATTACTAAATTCACCAAACCCTAAAAGTAAAGTTCTTACAATTTTAGTACGACAATTATTTGATTTTTAATAATTTATTATTACTAAAATATTCATTTGATTGTTTGATTGATTGCGTCATTAAAAAATGATGAATTTTATGCATGAGTCATACCTTTATGGACGTCACAAGGGCGAGCGAGGCCAACAACAAATTATATTTTATAGATTAAAATAAACGTTTTTAAAAGATGCTTATGCTATATATATATATTAACTCTCGTCTCTCTCTCTCTCTCTCTCTCTCTCTCTCATTAAGCGTAGTTAACTTTATTGAATTTCATGTCATACTATAATTGACATGCTTTAATGTTCAAATAATTTGTTTCAGTTGATCATTTGTGTTATTAGTAATGTATAGATACTTGTGTCATAGAGAAGTGCATTCATGTATCATTCATCCGAGTCATCTGTGTATTACTTGAATTAATCCCTGAGTTGTTCATCTGAGATATTTAGTAAAGTCAGATGTGTGGAAGATCTCATCTGCAATCTATGGGACGTTTCCTATCAGATGTCAAATAGACGTTTAGAAGATGTCTTTAAGATGTTTATAACGTAAAACTGGCATCTTAAAGACTTCTATCAGATGTTTGTACACAGCAGATGCTTTCCAGATCTTTAACAGACATCTTGCAGACGTACGTGTGCTATCTGGGTACAAGGATCTTAAAGACATCTTCTAAACGTCTATTTGACATCTGATAGGAAACGTCCTAGAGACGTATAGCAGATGAGCAAACACTCTAAAAATATGTCTTGCAGATGTAATGCAGACGTCAAATAGACGTTTCTCTTATCAATATTTCTTCTGGACGCGTAAGGACAGAATGAGATGTATTGATCAGGTTGTTGAAGCAGCGCCACCTGTTGAAATGAACAGACTAAACAGAGTGCTGAAAAACAAATATTTTAATAAACACCCCCAATAAACAGTCTAATTGTGCATCTTGTCTTCCAAACACGTCGCTGGTGTTGTCTGGTCCACTATGTTTGCTATTAAATTGGTCGGCTTTCCCATTTCACAGACTTTTCTTTGGAAATAATTAATTAGGGCTGAGAGAGTGACAGACAGTGGAGTACGAGCCTGTTTGCTGGTTTGTAAGTTAAACTCCATCTGTGTGCTGCTTGTGTTTGTCCTTCCCGACACAGACAGGAGACAGCAGACGTAAACCTCCATCTGTCTGTCAGCGGCGCTCCGTCAGACCCACGAGCTGTTTAAAGAGCAGTCTGGAGGCTTTGAGTTCATGTATATATTAAATATGACTAGAAATGTATGCAGATTTTAAAAATAAATAAAAAGAACCCAACACTTTTAAATACAGTATTGCAGTAATGAGAATCTAATGAGAATTACAATTGAGAATAATATATATATATTTTTTTTTTGATTGTTTTAGAAAAAAATATTATTATACTAAAATAGCCTTCATTTGGTGCCAAAAAAGGGTTAAATGTTGAGCTGTGTGTGTGTGTGTGTGTGTGTGTGAGAGTGTGTGTGTGTGTGTGTGTGTGTGTGTGAGAGAGAGAGAGTGTGTGTGTGTGTGTGAGAGTGAGTGAGTGTGAGTGCGTGAGCATGCGAGCGAGCATGTGTGTGTGTGTGTGTGTGTGTGTGTGTGAGTGTGTGTGTGAGTGAGTGAGTGAGTGAG